GAGATAGAGTGGGGAGCAGAACAGGCAGCGGTACTGAAATACACTGCTGAAGAAGCAGCTGGGGAGACAGGAGAGTTCTGCTGTGCCATATAGGTCAGCTTCCTGGCAGGAGATCAAACTCCTCTGAAGCAGTTGTACTAGTGTAGCAGTGCTGCACTTTAAGCCTTTGCACCACCAGGAAGGCCCAGATTATAGTCTTTTTATTGGCTGCATGACATTCCACCCCATTCCACCTCTTCAATAACTATAGGTTGTTCATATGTCTTTGCTATTGTGAACACTGCTGCAGTGAACATAGAAGTACCTATATCTTTTTGAATAGTGTCTTTGTTCTCTATGACTGAAGACACAGAAATAGAACTGCTGGGTGTGTAGTTGTCTATTTTTAAGTATTTGAGAACCTCCATACTGTTTTCCATCATGGCTGTATCAAAGTCCATTCCTACTGTGTACATTCCTATAGTGTACATCCTTGCCAATACTTGTTATTTCTTCTTTTAGGTGATAGCCATTCTGACAGATGCAAGGTGATATTTCCTTGTGATTTTTAATTTGCATTTCTCTGATGATTCATGATATTGAATAACTTTCTTGTGCCTGTTGAGCATCCATAGGCCCTCTTGGAATAATGTCTATTTAGATCCTCTGTCCATTTTAAAATATTGTTTGTTCTTGAGTTGTATGTGTTCTTTATATATTTTGCTAATACTTATAAATTATTTGGGAATATCTTCTCCCATCCAGTAGATTGTCTTTTTGCTTTGTAGATTTCCTTTACTATGAAGCATTTTAGTTTGATGTAATCCCATTTGTCTATGTTTTGCTTTTGTTTCTCTTGCCTTTGGAAAATTTTCAATAAAAGCACCATTAAGATGAATGTGAAGGAGCTTACTGCTTATGTTTTCTTCTAGGAGTTTTATGGCTTCAAATATTACTTCAGATAATCAAGTCTTTTCAGTTAATTTTTGTGTGCGGTTTAAAATAGTAGTTCAGTCTCTCCAATACCATTTATTGAAAAAAGAGTTACAGGTTAATAGAACAGAATATAGAGCCCAAAAATAAATCCCTGTATACAGGGACAAGTAATTAATGACAGAGTAGGCAAGAATATAATATGAGGAAAACTCTGTTTTTATCCCAATATCACACTATTTTTGATTATTTAGTATATATATATATTTGATGTAAGTAATAAAGTTAAAACTGCAAAGATTTTTTTTAGCATAGTTCAGTACATAGTCCTCAAAGTGTCATTACTAAGGAAATTTGAGCTCATTTACTTCTCATAATAATCCTATAAGACAGGTGGTATCCCTATTTTGAAGTTGAGCTATCTGGGTTTTAGAAAAAAATAAACCACTGATATGGCTAGAAAGTGATAACATTGAATTCCACAAAATGAAAGCCTTAACTATACCACCTTTATATTATCATTGATATTACATTGGTAGAAGAAATTCCCACTTATTTTTCATGGTAACTCCTTGGAACTTGAGTTTTAGAATAACAAAGAAATTTCATTTAAGGTAGCAAATAACTGAACCAATGAATTTTTTGGTATCATATTATAAGTTGCAATGCTCACACCAACCTTGTGGGCAAGGTGAAAATATTACTACCTTTCTTTTGCAGAGGAAGAAACAAACCTCGGAAAGTTAGGCAATTGTAGCAAGGCCTCATAGCTAGTAGGTGAAAAGAGAGAAATGAAATTCCAGTGTTCTTCATCATCATATAACATTATGCTGCTATAATATCATATGGTTATGTAGGAAATAAAGTATTAAGATAATAAAGATGGTAGGTTTGTGTGGAGGAAAAATCATGTTCATAAAAGTTTGAGATTGGCAGCACAGAAGTTAGCAATTTCCTTCAGCATTAAAACATCACTTATACTATGTTCAGAAATATGTCTAGATGACCTTTTTTTCAACTTATGTTCTCTTATTCAGAAGATATAAATATATACATTAATTGCTAAGGTTCTTTTGTTTTTCTTTGGTTTATATGGTTTAGATTTAAGCCAGTCCCATGTTTATTAATAGATAAGCGAAGGCAAACTTTTCAAGTTTTCAAGGTAAAATTCTGACCAATAAAAGATCACTATTTTCTATAGTAAACATATGGCTAATAAAAGATTTACAATATGACTTTTAAAAGAAAACTATTACAAAGTGAAGTGATTTTAGTTTTCATTTTAATTATTCTTTACCTGTACAGTAGGCAAATCTCTACTCAAGATCACAATTATATTGAACAACAACTTCTTCAACTCAAAATCTTCATAGGAATTAGAAAGTTTAATACCTTTTACCAAAGGATTTTGACTTTTCACTGTGAGGGAGAAAAAAAGAAACAAAAAAGCTAAAATCATGAATAGGACTTATCAAGATAATTAAAAGTTGAAAGCTTTATGGTTTTTACCTTCACTAAAGGTTGCAAATAGTATCAAGTCCTTGGTAAAGCCACATTCCTAATATAAATATAAAACAAACAAATAAAAGGATAAGTTAATTAAATGAAAATTAAGACAGATATCCTATATTTATGAATATTTAAGGATGTTTATTAGTTTTCCCTATTTTCACTCATTTAAATTCCAAAAGCAAGGTGTAAAAACCAGAAAAAAAGCATACAGCCAGATAAACTGGTATTTGTCTATACTTTTAAACTTATTTTTGTAAGTTCTAAGAATTTTATACTATTCAATGAATATGTTATAAGATATTGTTTAAAATATGGTAAGAACCTATATATTTGAAACCTACAGATTACTTATATAATTCATTATCTTTACCTTCAAGTGACAAAATAAATGGAGGGAAACACTGTTATTTTCAACAGGTTTTCTTCTTAAGGGGCTCCTGAACCTATCCCTACCCAACCACTCTGTAATGTCAAAAGTTGGAAACATTTTAGCATGAGGGAACTCCTTGATACAGATATTCTAGTTTGGCTTTAGATATTACATTATTCATCACTATAGTTAAAAGCATGCCAACCATGCTTTTGACAGACTAGGTGAAGACCAAAGTTGGAAGAAAAAGGGGCATGAATGCAGTTTCCAGAATTCTCTATCTATTTCTGTAGCAAAGACTGCTAGCTTCTCTGTCCTAATATTGTCCCAAGTATATCCCAGCTTTTCCCCAATTATGAGACAGTAGTCTGCAATGATCTCAGGCTGGCTGATTTCTGACTAAACCTGATTTCTCCCCACCAACTCTAGAAGAGATCTCAAGTTTCAGTAGCCAGAGTCAATTTCCTCTCACATTTGTGCAGTATGAATTCCTTGCCTCTTCATTCTTTTTAGGACCAATTGATGTCTATTGATATAAGATTGGGACTTCAGTGCTGAATATCCTTTAAATATAACTTAGAAACCATAAATTATGTGATTATTGTTGCCAAAGACCTCAAGTCCAGATTGTCAATCATTCAATGATTATTATACTATAAAATATGAGAAGACTGACTCAGTTTCTGGTATGGCTGAGTAGCTTCTCTAAGAAACCCTTTTTCAGGTAATAGTTATAAATGCTAAATAAAATACGAAAACATCTTGTGACCAAAACCAAGCAGATACTAGAAGAGAGTCAGGACTTTAAAGAAGGAAATGGCACAGCATGATATCCCCTATTTTTTTCTTTTCAGTGGTTTTTAAAATGACACCAGGCCCTCATTTGCACCTTTTGGGAATGCTTAAACTCAGAGGAAACCTATAATTATAGTGGGTTGGAGAACCAAATACTGTGTATAACTTCCCAAATGTCTGGCTGGAAACTGCACCAAGCTAAATCAAGAAATGTTAAACCATTCCAGGTCAGACTAAAGGAACTGAAAATCAAGTTGTCATTTACTATAGGGCCTAGGCAAACTAATTACCTATTAATACAAAAAGCAAGTAATTACTTTTCAGAGAAGTAAACAAGAAGCACAATAAAGATACTTATCATGAATGGAAAGACAAACTCTCAGCAGAAAAGTAAAAACTATAAAAAGGGACTTCTAAAATTGAAAATATAACATCTGAAACAGAAATGTTCTGGATGGGATTAATAACACATGGAGATGACAGAAACAAAAGTCAGCGAATTGAATATGTAGACCAATGTAAAATATACAATCTGAAGAAAAATGGTTGGAAGAAAAGGTGAAGATAGCCTGATGCTATGTAATCAGAGTTCCCGAAGCAGAGGAAAAAAGAAAAGGGGGCTGAAAAACACTTGAAAAACAAAGACCAGATATTCTCCAAATTTAGTAAAAGATATAACTTGACAAATTCAGGAAGTTCTATGAAATTCAAGCAGGATAAATACAAGGAATATCACAACCTGACATATCACAGAAAAAGGGCTAAAAACCAAAGATAGTGTGGAGGTCATGAAAACCACACAGAACAAAATGATATATTGTGCACAATAATTTGAAATATTGAATACTTCTCTTTAGAAACAATGGTGACCATAAGACAGAAATCTCTAAAGAGATAAAAGGAAAAAAAAAACTATTTGAATTATTATATTCTGTGAACACAGATTTTAAGAATTAAGGAAAAGTAAAGATATTTTAACATAAAAGAAACTCATAGAATCTGTTGCCAAAAGTAAAGATATGAATCACAGGAAATGGTAAAGGGGGTTCTTCAGAGCAAAGCTAATGATACCAGGTAGAAGCATAAAACACCAGGAAGCACAGAAATGCATTATACATTAGTAAATTATAAACTACTAAGAGGGGCTTAAGCTTCTAAAGGAATGCAAATAAGAATTTGTGAAGTAATGAGTATAGCGGGGACCATCGTGACATTAGAACAGAACATGACATAAGGACAAAGCACATAAAAGTTACAATATAGTTAACTATCCTCATCCCCACAACGTCCACAATTAAAATTAATGCAATTTGGTCAATACTTACAATCATTGGTGCTCCAGGATTTTGAGCAATAATTGTAGTGATTACTAATATATCGTTTCTAAGCTGACGATCGTAATGACTAAAACCTTTTATAACGAGATTTTTAAATACTTCCTTCAAAGCCCTAGAAAGTAAAATTGCACCTTTAAAACCTTATTTCCATAGAAATATTACTTAAGTGTCTATCAACAAAATCCCCCTTTTTATATCATACTATACCTTTCAATGTATTTCCAATTTTTTCCACATTTCCATGTGGAATTTGGAAATTCCCAGTTGCCTCCAATTCACTGTGCATCAGATTAAGAATCCACCAACCCAACCCCTACATTGTGATCAAAGTGACTAATCTAAAATAAAGATGCAAGCATATCACTTTCCTCCTTAAAACTATTAAATTCATAAAGTCTCCTCTTTGATTTAGTTCTTCACCTCCTTACCAGGGCATATGAGGCCTTTCATGTTGTAGCCCTCTACTGACATTGCTAGCATCATCTCTCACTATTCTACCCTGTACTTCCTGCCCTCACAATACAGAATTTCTTTCAGTTCTTGAATTGGCTAAATTCTATTAGAATGTGTCTATTCTCATGTTTTCCCTGTCTAGGATGGTCTCTGCATGCAGTAGTTTTCTGTACTGCTAAATTTTATTTATCATTTTAGTACAGATTAGGCTTCACTAGGAAGTATTTATTAATTCTCCCAGTCTGAATTAGGCTCCTTGAGTAACTGGCACTTGTTGCTTTGCCTCTTAAGCATCACTTGCCTTTTTTTACGATAACAGTATCCTTATTTTTATTTAGGGATTCACTCTTCTTCTACATTTGATCTTGTGATCTTCAGTTTCCTCTTAGCCATTTTTTCTCTGTGCCTAGTAATTCACTTTGTAGCAGGCATATGGGCAACACTAGACCACTCAGGGCCAAGAGGAATTTAATGTGATGTTTACTTTTAAAAATAAATAGCAAGTCTTTTCTTCTGCTTGTTTTGGGATTGAGATGATATAAACTTAGGTCTCATCACATGGACCTTTGAAATAAAGCCAATACCAAAGAAAACAGTGCAGAGAGATAGAGGGTTCAAGTCCTGATATTTGCTGAGTCTTGGCTATAGCTGTGCATGAAACCAGTTTTATTCTTGACTTTGTAGTTATATGAGCCTGTAAATTTCTTGTATGACTTAGATCAGTTAGGTTCAATGTTTAGTTACTTGCAAACAAAAATGTATGATTCACCCTCTTCTGGAGAACATGTAGCATCTTGAAAAAAAGTCTCTCATAACATTTAATGTGGTATCTAGTAGTTGTCTTATTTACATCTCTCATAAAGTAATGCAAATTTCATGAAAGTAGAGACTAGTCTGCATTGTTTCCAGTTGTACTTGTACAGCTGAGTACTGACCTTGGCACAGAATAGATAATAAGTGAATAATAACTAAAAGACTCACTCATGTTTTATTACTAATGGCTACTATACTACTTGTAAATTAATAAGTACATTAAGGTTTAAGTAAAATAGTTCTTTGAAATGTCTGATTTTACTTATACATATTCAAAAATACAATTTAATCTTATTAACAAGCTATTCTAAAAGCCTTCCACATAGAAAAAAAATGGTATTATTATGCAGATGCATTTTTCTATCATGCACACACACAAAAAGATATTCTGAAACATTAGCCATTCCATGAATCAAAAACAAATACAAATTCAAGTAAAGATGTTAGATACGTCATTAGTATCATTTAGTATCATTTTAAATTAAAGCCTAATTATATCTAATCACATATACTTACAGCAAACATTCCAAGTTACTGAGTTGTTGTATGATTTCTTCCTTTGAAGACTTTTCCAGTAAGTTCCAAAGTATTTCTGATGAACGAAATAGGAGCTGTCCGGAAGGATCTGGGTCATTGAGGTGAGCACAGATTTCACTGGCTGCCTGCGCTTTCATCATTAAGGTACAATTAACTTCTGAAAATAAATTTTGAAAATTATATCATGTACTCTTGAAATTATTAGATAGTAACAAGAATGTAAAAGATAAAAGTATTCAGATTTAATAATATACAGACCAGAGGTTGAGAGATGTTGCAGAGCTTTAAGAACCCAAAGTTTCTCAACAAGTTGATTTTCAAGCAAGGCCATTGACTGGACCATTGTTTTTGCTAATCCTCCAACTTCGGCCATTTGTATCTTATATGAGGAACTAGCTTGCTGGTAACCTAATGACATTCAGTTAGTAAATTTCTACAGTATTTCACATCATAACAATTTACATTCAGACAAAATAATGAGTAATTTACAACACAGTGAAAACAAAAGTTTTTTGAAGTATGTGATGTTTTAAAATGGCTCAGGGATAGGCTGACTTTTTATATAAAAGACCAGGTAGTAAGTATTTGACTTTACAGGTTGTGAGGTTTTAGTCTCAAATGCTCAACTCTGGTACCATAGCATGAAAGCAGACATAGAAAATACACAGAGATGAGCATAGCTGTGTTCCAACAAACCTTTATTTACAGTAGGCCAGTTTTGGCATGGGGTTCATAGTTTGCTGATCTCTGGTGTATCATTTGAAAAAGGACCACAAGTTTGGGGGACACATCTTACAATCCAAAAAGAATACTTCTTGGTTGTCGTAGACATGCCTTTCAATGATAGAAACTGGCATGACTGCAAATATGAATGTTTTCACTATTAAGTCAATATATTACTTAATGCTTTTAAAGGACAGCAATTATGTGATGTAGGCAATGAAATACTAAGTGAAAAATGCAATGCTGTTTTGAGAAATACTTGTGACTGTAATGTTATTTTAGGGAAGCTTGAATCCTAGAGACATGTTTTATAAAAATTATCACCTGTGAGAACACTACCTCTGCTTTTGATGCAGCTATAGTCAGTCCAACTACCATCAGTGTGAGAGATTAAATTGAGAGCATTCTTGCACACCTAAGATGGGGCTATTTTCTCTCAGTAATATTTCTTAATCTAACCCCCAGCTTATTCATTTTTGAAGTGTCTGTCAGTTTGTCTTAGTGTTCTGAATTTGAAAGCTGGCTGTAGACAAGGTCCTGTCCATTCCTGTGATGGTTCTTTATGGCATGTCCTAAGAACACAATCTGGCATTTAAAAAGTACAAAGAAGACAAAAACTGCCTGTAATATCACTATTTAGAGATAACAACTTTAACATTTTGGTGTATTTCTTGCTGCTATTTTTGATGTATTATATAATTTGAAGAATATACTATAGGTGTAATTTATATTTTGCTGCAACCACTAAACATTTTATTGTAAGTTCCCCATGCTGTAAAATATTTACCAAATCATGGTTTTATTTGCAATAGCTTTTTAACTGCATGACTGGGCCAAAATGTACTTTATAATTCCTTATCTTTCCCTATTGCCTTTACATCTATAGAGAATGCAGTGATGATAAGACTCATGGATTTGTTTCCTGTCTCCAGGGGTATCTCTCTTATATTTTTCTCTACTGAGGTCTTTTCACTTGCAGTCCCAGTTGAATGCCCAGCCATGCCCACCACATGAAACTAACTATGTCACAGTTACTGAGGGCTTTGCCTAAGGCTCCTAATTTTCAGAGCTTGAACAAATTAAGGCCAAACTCATAGCTCTGCATCTTAATCCCATGGTCTTATATCATATGATGTTTGTCTCCTTCCTATCCTAACGAAGAATGCCTATATCTTGCCAGGAAAACCCCTAAGATTGTGCTCTTAATTCATTTTCTTCTAATTTCTTTGGAAATTTTACTCTTGTATTTCTCACTAACTAGCTTCTTGTTCCTTTGCTTACAAACTTAATTTTAAATCTGAAAAATTACAAAATCTAATCTTTCTTTGAATGTGCTATCAGGTGAGCTGTTCTCCATCTTCCTTCTCTTTTTTTCACCATTGGGTCTTAAATATTAGTCTCTATTCACTGACTCCACTCCCTCACTTCCACCTCCTCTGTTCTCACAATCCTTTTAAGTACCGTGGCCACACAATGGTAACTGACCTGTCAAAGTTTAACTACAACTTTTTAATTAGTGCATTAACTTCACCTTTCCATTTCCTCAATTACACAAGTCTCTGTGGTATTTGACACTGAGACCATCTCTTCTTTTCCTTTATCAAATATTTAGCTCATTACACTCACTCCATGGTGTCTTTGAATTTTCTTCCTCCTCTTGAACCTCCCTTCACTGCCAGTTTCTTTGAATAACTTTTATTCCAAACCTCAATCTAGGCACTTTCCATGATGCCATTCTTGGTCCCCTGTTGTTTATATACTTTCTCTCTTGATAAACTTAACCCTTTCGATGACTTCAATTTACATCTCTATTTGGATGAGTTCCAAACTGCTATTTCTGGTCTTTGCTTTTAGTATCCAATGTCTATTATAGTCAAAAACTTGCAACTGTTGATGCTATCAATAATTCAAATTTGACATTTAGTAATCTCCTTAATCATTTCTGAATTCCTTGCCTTTTCATTTTTCCTTAGCTATAATCTTTTTTTTCTACCACCTAGCTTTGTACTCCTTGCTTAAGTAACATATAACTTTTAAAATGTTTGTTAGATTTTCTTGCTTTTCCTGATTATAAATTACAGAAATAAGGTAAGAAGTATGTGCTAAATAACATGTTTTTCATACATGCAAGTATCACACATTTCAATGTGATTCATTTTGTCATTTCATTGGTAAGATCCCTTTGCAATACATGTAGTAATCTTTCCAAGCATGATGGAGAATAGTATTAGCATTATGAATTTAACATCTAATTGTGTGGGACAGATGTCATAAATAATTATAAGGTGTTAGAAAAACAGTGACTATGTCAACATTACTAAGTAACATTAACTAATAGTAATAATTATAATTAAACTAATTTGGGTGTGACTTTAAAATCTGTCTTAAAAAATATCTAGCATCAGAATAAAAACAACATCATGTAAATCTTAAGTTGAAAAGTACACATATAAACTTTTGTTGAGGGCTCTCTCTGGTGGCACAGCAGATTAAAGCACAGCACTATGAAGCTAAAGCCATTTCAGCATGAGTTGGATTTCCAGCCAGGGAGGTGACCCACATGGTGTGGCAGACCTTTCCTGACCCATTTACTGCTCCCCTCAGCAGTATACTTTGTCAGTTGGCCTGTTTGCTCCCTACTCTCTCTCTCTCTGGTGAATCCTCTCACTGCCCCTGCACCTCTGGCCTTTACCCCAGTTCTGTATGCATAAGTAATCTTAAAAATTTTTGTTGTTGTTGTTTGAAAGGAGTACAAAGCTTAATACTACAAAAATGCATTGTTTTTGAAGCATTGTATTTATAATTCCACTGTATCTTCCCAAGTTCAAAGAGAAATGAGACTGGCTATTATATTTTATGAAGACATTACTGAAAGAACACTGAAAATTTCACCTGTAATATGTTTCTTTGGTGGTTCTGCATGGTAAAAGTCCACAATACACTTACAAATTTGTATCCTCAATTCAGAACTTGGTATTTTCATTAAGTTACCTGCCAGAAAGATAAAGGAATATTATTTAATAATGCTGTCATAAGTTTATTTGTAAATTGAAGCATAAAATGTTAGTAATATGATTATTGAAAATATCATAATCAGAGATTTAAATACTAAATTAAATTAAATACTCACAAACACTCATATTTACAGAGCACACTTTATAATACTTGGTCTCTCAATCAACTCAATCTCTCTTTCCCAGAAAGGAAAAAAAATGCTGATTAACAGTATAAATGCTGGAACCAGACTACCGAGGCTAAATCATGGTTCTGTCACTTACTTACTGCCTGTAAACTTATGTCTTAGTTTTCTCATCTACAAAATGGGCATAACAATAGTTAGTACCTTTAAGATTGGTGTGAGGAGTAAAAGAATTAGTATGAGTTAAGTGTCTGGCATATATTAAGTTGCTATTATTATTTTGGCAAATTATGGGTTACCATTTTTCTCCCTATTTAGAGAGTGAGTAATTTGTCACCTTTTCTTAGAAAAGTTCCAATTTGCAGACAGATAGACAGTGATTTTTCTAGGTAGTCTTTGTCTTACAGGTAATAGCTTTTTATGCATAACTCGTCCATCTAAGTGGTGATAGAAGACAAAGGAAGTTCCTTTGTATTCATAACTAAACTACTTTTGAATTATCTTCAGCCTTATTTCAACTGGGTTGCATTTGCCCCTAGTGAAATCCTTGTAAATACGGTCCCAAAGAGCCTGTATCCACACACACACATATATACACACACACTCATATATATCACTCATATATATTTTTTTTCAGCATCAATATTAATCTCTTAATTTTAATTTTGGGACCCTTCCTTTGAAGTTGAAAAATCATTCTCCCCTACCCCCCAAATATCAGCAACAGGGTTAACTAAACTATTCAGATTTGGGGGGGAATTCTATGGTTTCTCATTGCTTTCTCTAACATTTTAGTTTCTGTAGTTTTAGATAATTTTTTCCATAGTTTCTATTTCATAATAGAGGGCAGAGTACCAACTGCTTCCCTCATACATTTCCAGAATCCTGTTCTTGAGTCAGAACTAGCTATCATTTAGGGCCTCCCTGGTGGTACAGGGGTTAAGACTCAGGACCACCAACCTACTGCCAGGCAGTAGGTTCAGATGGCTCGGCAGACCTCTCCTATCTCTCTCCTACTTCTCCCCTCAGTAGTTCTGCTCCCCCCTCTGTCTCTGGTAAATCCTTTCACCACAACATACCTCTGACCTATACCCCAGTTTCTTCTATGCATAAATAAATAAAATAAGTCTTTAAAACAGAAATATCTGGGCCCTCCCTGGTGGAGCAGTGGGTTAAAGCACATACTAAGAAGCTAAAGCCACTTCAGCATGAGCTCGATCCCACCCTGGGGGTGACCCACAAGGAGCAGCAGACCTCTCCTGACCCACCCGCTGCTCCCCTCAGCAGTGTACTTCATGGATTTGCCTGTTCTGCTCCCGGCTCTGACTCTGGTGAATCCTCTCACCACCACCCCTGCACCTCTGGTCTGTACCCCAGTTCTGTATGCATAAGTAAATAAATCTTTAAAAAAAATAGCTATCATTTAAAAGAAAAAGTAATATACTAGAAGTTATAAATAAAAATGATTAGTCTTTGCTTAACACTTTATACTATAAATAATTAGTTTAAGTGCATGTTTCCAGCAATTAGAAAATAAGAACAGAGCAGCAGTATTTGCAGTCAGTAATCGGTGATGGGACCTCATTATAAGCTGAGTTCATATTTCTTCAAATGAAACAGCACCAGTGCATACCCACAGCCATTCCACAAAGAGCAAACAAACAGTAAGAAACAGGCTACATGTTTATCATGTAAATGTATGCTGATACTCTTTAAGAAAACATTTAAAAATTTAAAAGGGCAAAAAAAAAAAAAAGGGTAACAGAGGTATGTTATTGTTAAAAATTTTATCAACCAAACTTACACTTTTAATCTGTCAGTACTACTATGTCTTCTTTGAAGCTGGCTTCCATTGGTGAAAGAGAGTCACAGGATTATAGTTTGCCAACTAGTTTTCAGCCTATTTGCTCTTAGGTAATTTATTTAACTTCCATATTCATTCTAATTTCAGTAACACTTTATCTATTCTAGCTGTAACTAGTCTTCTGGAAATAGTCAGAGTTGATGACTTGGAAACTTACTTTAATATAAAGAGTTAGTGTATGCATTAAAAAAAAGTTTTGTATTCATTCCAGTTGGATCTCTGCTGTCTCTCATTATAAAGTATAATGCTGGGAACAGATACTTACTTTTCATCTGCTGGGTCAATTATTGAATAATTACATAATTATTTCTCCTTTATAAATGAAGACCTTAATTAATCAGAGTATAACTAATGTAGGATTTGTTTTGGGAACATGTTGTCATATCTCAAGAGCTAATTCAAGAAACTAGTGTTTAATTCATCTCATTTTCTAGGAAGTTATTGTTTCTCTAGGAAATCAAGCAATAACCCAAACAGAAACATCTGTTCTTTTATGATGCTTTTTCATATTTTTATAAACACAGGCACCCACCCACATATATTATGCTAGACTTCTTAATATTCTACTATTTATGATTTTATTTTAATATTTAGATTATTTAATAAACAATTTGGTTCTTAATGACTAACTGTTAATTAGATTCTAGTAATTACTACAGTTGAAAGTATTTTGTGATTACTGAGAGGGACACATACTTATGTTTTATAAAATATGTAAAATATTTCATCAAATTAAATAATAACATCAGGACAAATAAGCACAAAGCATTATCCTTATAACTAAAAAACAAAGAATCTTGTTAGTAGAATGAGACACCTGTGTGGAAAACAATATAAAGTTTATCATCAAGCATGCTATGATTAATTCCCAACCAAAAAATTAAGTCCTAAATTTGGGGCATTATTCTTAGTGAAATTTAATGAGAGAGATAGTTCCTTCTTGTCAGTATGAACTGTCATATGTTAAACCCTCTATTTTAAAGGAAATCTTAACTTACCCAGAAGCGCAATTGAATTAGAGGTATCTTCAGCATATGTTATTTCATCCGATGCTTTCTTTTTCAAAAATGGCAAGCTTCAATAACAATGTATAATGTATAAGTTATGTCTAATAAGTATTTAATTGAAGCATTATTTACAAAGGGGAACATTTCCCTTCTAAAAAATAAAGGGAGAGTATTATCCTATTCTATAGCCCGGGGATACTGATAACTCTGGAGAATTTTGTGTTTCTAATTAGTTGACCAAAAAGAAAAGAAAAGAAATTTATAAAAATGAAAAGAGATGGCTATAAAAGGCATGGGTTAAGAAAACTATTTTACGATACTGCATCAAAAACAGAACCTTAAATTTTCTCTCGATGAAGGCAAAATAATAGTTTATGTTCATAGCACAATAAAATATAGCCATGGAAGACAGTAGATAATTTGATGCAAATCATAGATTTAAGTTTGGCTATAAATTAAAATCCATTGAAAGGCTTTTTTTGAAGTTTTTGTAATAGATGAAAAAAAAATTAGTTAATAGATGAAAAAAAATTAGTTAATAGATGAAAAAAAAATTTCTTAAAGATAATGCCACTTTCCTTATTAACTGAATCAGTTACTATCAAACAATTACATATACTTCCTGGGATACTAAAGAATTCCAGGCATTAGTTATATTAGAATTGTATTTTACAAATGATCAAAGTTATTTAACAGTAACATTTAAAAATCATCAAAGATAGGATACTCAGACTTAGGTCCTTAGTCTAAATGTCAAAGGAGAGATAAAAATTATTTCTTAAGTACAAAATACAAACTATGTTAGCATTTCATGAGTTCAAAATTCAAACCTCTTGTGCTATTTAAAATATATCTTATAGATAAAACTTTTGATTCCTGTTTTTCAAGTGGTTAAAAAGAATATTTAGAATTATCACATGTGGATAAGGGGACAATTGATATGTGTGTGTGTGTGCACTGCAGTGGCTGCCAGTAGCTTTAACCCCTGTGCCACCAGAGAGGCCCCTTATGTGTTACTTTTAATATCAATGCTCCTACACATCTCTAACAAGAATTTGGTTTCAGTTCCTTTTTGGTGGCCTGTATGCACACACACACATGTATACACACATAACTTTTATATATGTATACATCAACTAAAATTTAAGGATATTTCATAGACAAGCTATGAAAATGAATTTTATATATACAACAAGATGCTAGAATTTTCACTTGAAACAAGTAATTTATTCAGCTCATTGGTGGATTTCTAAAGTGAAAAATTCTGAAACTAGTTCTTGTTCCTTAACTTACTCTTTTTTTTTTTT